ATTTTCAGGGAGGCTTTGGACTTGGGGACAGCAGGAGCACTAGACGTGAGGCTTGAGGCTACAAGCAGGAGCCCCCACCCTGCTCCAGATTCTGCTCCCTCCACATGCAGTGAGGGTGGGGATGGAGAATGGAGGATAGGCATCTCTCATAAAAACTGAACAGGCCCGGAGAAAGCCTGCCACCCATCAACATTTCGGAGTCCCTGTGAAAAGGCTTCCACTGTCCTACGGGAAAGCCAAGGGTCAATGAATGCTCCCCGCTACACACACACATCTTCCAATCAGCCTCTTGGTGGCCCCCTATTAAAGCCAAGGACCAGCAGACGTTTGAGGGAGGCCGGCAAAATGAGAAAGAGAATCCTCCCATATGTTAAAAAAAGCAATTAAAGGGGCACCTGGGGGGCTCAGTTGTTAGGCGTCTGCCTTTGGCTCAGGTCATGATCCCTGGGTCCTGGGATCGAGCCCCGCATCAGGCTCCCTGCTCTGCGGGAAGCCTGCTTCTCCCTCTCCCACTCCCCCTGCTTGTGTTCCCTCTCTCGCTGTGTCTCTCTCTCTCTGTCAAATAAATAAATAAAATCTTAAAAATAAATAAATAAATAAATAAAGACACTGGAAGGGGGTCACCTGGGTGGCTCGGTCAGTTAAGTGTCCAACTCTTGATTTCGACTCAGGTCATGATCTCAGGGCCGTGAGATGGAGCCCTGATTTGGGCTCCATGCTGGGCGTAGATAGAGCCTGAGTAAGATTCTGACCCTCTCCCTCCACCCCTGCCCGCACTCTCTCTCTTTCCCCCTCTCTCTCTCTCAAAAACAATAAAAATAAAAACAAACTGTAAGAGACAGAGATAGATACAGGGTGGGGGGGGGCACAAGAAAAAAATAGCCTATAATTGGAAAGCTAAAAAAAAAAAAAAAGGAAGGGGTTTAATGCATATAGTCTGCGAGCATTTGTGTTTTTAAAAAGAAAAAAGAAGCATCTATGTCTTTTTATCTCCACACCAACCATTCTGGAGGATTTACAATCAGCTCAGAATGAGGGTTGGCTATGTTATCATTCTTTTGTACCTTTGAATTCTGATTTTTGATTGTGTTACCTATTACCGAGTTTAAAATCTAATACCGAATAATAAAAATATAATTATTATTGTCAGAGAGATGAGAGAAGAAATTGCATTTTGGGGAATGAAAAAACAAATATCACAAAAACCTTTTTTTCCCCCCAAAAAAGGAGAGTACGAAAAACCTTCCAGGGCATAAAACAAAAAGACAGATGAGTTGGGGGGTGGCCAAGGGAACCTCAGCTTTATATCTAAATGTTCTAATATTTTGCAAGGAGAATACAGTCACCTTAGTGTGTAATTAAAAAACGGAGCTCACGTGGAAATCCATGTGAAGCTCCTAGCTCGAGGAGGTAGGCTCCTGGGAGTTTCCTTCCCTCCAGGAGCCCAGGGCTGGGCAGGCAGCCCCCAAGCCTTCCAGGACTGGAGCGCTCAGCCAGAGATCACAGAGGTCACAGGCCTTCATAGCTGATAGGGATAGAGGTGAGGCGAGCCCCTGGGTCCCTGTTCCAGGCAGCATTCCCGAGAGCGTACCCCTTCTGCTCCTAATTAGAAGGCCTTGTCCTTACAAACACTGAGGGACACACTAGGTTTCTGAAATTAATTACTATGTGGTCAGGTTTGACTCATGGATGGAACGAGTTCATGAGCCAGTGTGGGAATGACCCGGCCCCATTCCACCCCAACGTCTAAATCCGCTGTCGTTTGAAGAGGAAAACATAAGAGAAAACGTTTATTCAAGTTTTTCTCCTGGGCCACCTACATCAGAGTCACCAGAGGTGCTTGTTAGAAATGAACTCGGGGCCCCCTCCCACATCTTTTGAATGAGCCTTAGCAGCGGGGCCCAGAGATTTGGCCGCCGAACCCCGAAGCAGGCAAATGCAGAAGCCACCGTCTCAGTCTGCAAAGATATTACTCTATTTTTCTTTAGTTCAACTTCTATTTTGCGTCTTCATCCTACTGCTTGCAGAAAACATTCCCTTATCCATTTCCAGGTGAACTCCGTCATCCCACGCCATCCCCTTCTCCTGCCTCCACCATTGATCTAAATTTGGGGAGTCCCTTAGCACCGCGGCATAGGGGGGTTGGCAGGGAGAGTCCTCTCTCTGAGATAAATCCTCCCGGGTCCCCACCTCCATGGATCAGACATGCCCTCATTTCTACCCTCCTGCTGCTGCCCCCAGGACCCAATAGCCATGTACCAGCTTTCCAAGCCAGGCTCCGTGGCCCTGATTCCCCAAACGTGTTCTGGGTTCTGTCCCTTCCAAGTCCTCTGGACTTGGCCATTGGGGAAAATGAAGATCCCACTCCGAAAACAATGTCTAACATCTTGTCTGGTCCTCCACTAGCTGGTAGGTAGTGGGGAAGGTGGGGGTGGGGGCTCTGCCTGTTTGTAACTCCTTCCCCATCTTAGACCCAGACACTGCAGCTTTTGAACTTAAAAGCCTGGGATTTGGCCTCTTTGTTCTCTGGCTAGACAATAGAGTAGTCTCAGGGCCCAAAAGCAAAAGCTAGCAGACGAGCGCTCCCTTTTCACATAGGCCGAGCCACCCAGACATTCGGTGGCTGTGCATAAGAACCAGGGACGTGGCTGCCCCTCTGAGGGGGGAGGGAGCTGAGAGTGTCTTATCTTAGATCTGCTGAGTCCCCACACCCAACACATGCTCCCTGTTCACTCACCTCCCCCAGACAGCTGGGAAATGACACCTCTGGTGGCAGAGCCAGTCCCCAGGCTTCTGCTGGGAGGGGGTGGGGCGCTGCATGGGGGAGGCTCTCACACCCTGGGAAGCCTGGGTGGGGGAGGGAAGAAGCTGGCTCCTATTTGTCTCAGACACCAAGGCCACCAGCCTCTCTCTGCTCCCCTTCCAGGGATGCGATGAGCACCCCTGGCCCAGGACCATGATCCCTCCCCCAAGACACCTCCTCCTTCACTTTTGAGGCTTGCCTTGACCGACCCCACAAGATAGGCGGCTCATCTGGTCCCATCTTGTCTCTGAAGTGCCAGGCCTGCTGGGGATGAGCGGACTGAGTGTGTGCAGCTGATGTTTAGAGGATCTAAGAGAGACCAGTCGGGGATGGAGGGGGGCATGGGTAATCTCCTTCTACCATGTTCCAGATCAAGCCATTTAACACGTATGTAGTGCCTACAAATGTAATATATGTGCAGCCCAGAGATAGGACAGGAACTGGCCAAGGTCACAGCTATGAGGTTAATCCACATGTAAAGTAGTATCTTGTACCTGGGTACTGTAGGGGCAGCCCCTGCCTACTGTCTTTCCCCTAAAGAAAAACAAACAAGCAGAAAGCCCCCAAAGCCCCTTTCCGTCGCAGCCTGGGATCAGAGGCTGAGCCCTCCTTCTGTTGCCTGGGAGCTGACCCAACTCTGGGGCAGAGCTGGGTTTTTGGCCGGTCGGCCACCACGTGAAGCAGCCCCACGGGACAGCCTCGGGCCCTCCGCCCTCGGCCTTAACCTTGCCCTATCTCAGTCAAGCACCCCCGGTCTGAGCCCCAGTTGTGAGGAGCGGCAGCTTACACACTTCAGTGATTTGCTTGGGGTGAGGGGGAGAGCCTGCCTCTTCTCCTTTCCTTCACACCCCGCTCCTCAGCGGCCAGGGGCCCCAGGCCTCCCCTGAGCCGCCCACCCGCCGGGCGGGTCGAGGGCACCAGCTCCCGCCGCTCTGCCCACTTCTGCAGCAGGGTCCCAGCTACCCGCATTGCCCCGGCGACCTGCACTTGCCCCTTCCCGCGCCCCCCCTCCCCCGGCCACTGCAAACGCTGCAGCCGGTCGCCGGCCTTGGGGCCCGCGCGCAGCCCGAGGCCTTGCGGGGGGATGTGGGGTGCGGACTGGTTTACGGGTTTCGCGGGTGCGGGAGGACGTGGCCTGGGGCTCAGGGGCGCCGTCAGGACCAGGGGCAGAGGCGTGGGGCGACTGTGAGGGCTGCGGCCCGACCGGGCGGGTCGGCGGAGGGTGCGGGGAGCCGCAGCGCCGGGGCTCGGGGCTCACCGAGCTGCGCCAGGTGCGGGGCCCCCGA